GACCAAGTTAAACAAAATAACGTTCGAGATTGTTTGGATTCTTAGTCCAAATGAAACATGAGTGATACTTGAAATAAATTTTTGGGCGTAATATAATATCTGAATTTTTTTTTTTAGCTCAAAGGGCGTTAGCCTACAAGGGATATTAATTTCGCTTTAGCATTTTGCGTTGATTCACTATAAATGGCGAATCACTTTTTAAATTGTTGTCACCAAATATTAGAGCCCTGCATTATATCTAAAGAAATTAAATAATGAAGAACCTGCATAAATGTATGCACGTTTCTCGCATTGTGATAAAACAAAGGTACCTAGATTCATCGAATTTTGAATAACGTACGTCTCCACCCGAACATTTGCACTTGGACGCCCGAACTTGGAATTCTGAATTTTTTTATTATCTGTTTCATATTTTGTAAAATTTTAGCGAACTTTTAATTAACAAACTGAACGATTTCAGTAATGGCAACACTGTACGGAAAAAATATTTTTGTCTCCTGCGTGCGAGACTGTCTACTGGAAATTCTAAAGATAACCTTTTTTTAAATATTTTGTGATATTGCTGTTGAATGGAATTTCACGTGGTTTTAATTGCGAAGAACATGATATAAACAAATAAAGGTCACACAAACGGTAAAAAAGCCTTTTTTTGCGTAATATAAAATATGAAAGCTTTCAGATTTTTCATTTGCTTTTATTTTATTTATTTGTCTCAGGTGAAGGAATACTTAAACATGATTTTGGTAAATAAAGTAGGATTTATGTGATATGTAAAAAAATCATACAAAGTTGCGGCTCATGTGAATAGTGTAGTTACACTTTATATACTTAGAAATACCTGAAGTATGGTATCCGCATATATCAAGCCTGACACATAAAGAGAGGATATTAAGAAGATTATATAACCCGTTTAAAGAGTTACGTACATGTTCAATAGACTTAAGCTGAATGACCTGAAAACTAAATGTGTATGTTCTATGCCCTTTCTTCTGCCTTTATTGCTGCTCTAGAAACATCTTTTACATTTAGATTACGTTTTGCCAGTAATTTCTCTTTCTCTGAGTAAGACTAACGATCAAAGTGTTATGTTTAATGAGATCAAGAAAGTTCTGTTTTTAGGGAGGGAAGCGGGACATCACTTATTCTAGTCCTCATTAAGCCGATCAACTTAAAAATCAGTTTTGTCTTAACATGATAGCAATTACATTTATACAATATTCTGTATGCACGTCTACCTCCTTCTCTTCAAAACGTTTTATAATTATTCATTTAAGTCTTTATAAGCTTTATGTGCTTCGCTACTGAGCAACCGCAAGTAATTCCGTTAACTCTCTGTGTCTTTCAAAAGTCGCCTATCTTCAAGAGCTTTGTTTAAAAATTATTTATATGCTATGTTTATAATACATTCTCATTAACACCATAAATTCCCCTTCTTCCGTAAATTTTAACTGATATATAAGTTACCGCACTTACAAAGTACTCAATAAAAGGAAATTCAAGTGTTGAACAGTACCGCAGTTGTTGAGGTGTATTTAGAGAGAAAATGATCTGAAACATTAAGGTATATATGTTTCAACTTTAATCAGAAGACACAGCAATTTTGAAGAAATGTGCTACCCGTTCTCGAAATAAAATAATTTTATCTTCCACCAACCTGCGTCTCGCCATTCGGAAAAGCGTAAAATATTTTCTTTCAAATTTAATCTATCTACTACTAACATACAAAGTGATTTAAAACAACAAACACAGTTTTTTATTTCCTTATTATTAATTGCTGTTAGCTGGACAATGAAATTACACTAGCTAGATTTCGCAAAATTATTATATATTTTCTCTTTAAGGCTAAAGAGTAACACGCGAAAGTAAAACATAAAAATAAGCAAAGCAACAGCTCTGTGCTTGGCGTAAATTTAATCAAGATTTTATCGATTTCGAGGGCAAACAGATACAGATCCCTCTTCATCAGGAGCAAAGAAATCTGCAATGAAGGGAAAGCAACGGTTGTATTTACACCCAAAAGGAGTAAAGCTAACGAGAAGGTAGCGCTACCTATCTGCAGAAATAGTAGTGAAAATTAAAAATTATGTTAATAGAATTTTAAAAAGCGTTAGGAAGGGCTGGATTGGAATTAACGTCATCAACTAAACAAGATAAATCTTTGTGAAGTGAAAAGATTAAAAAAACCCAATTCACCAATGTAAAAAGCTTTTTGGATAATTTTTGCACACCCTAATACAAAACTGTGATCTATTTTCAACTATGACTAATCATAATTTAATCATAGTATCATCGGGTATGCAAAAATTATCCAAAAAGCTTTTTCTATGGAGCTGGATTTAGAATTTTTCAGGGGGTGGGGAGATAAATTCCAAATAATTTGAATTTTTTTTCCTTTCTACCTCGTGCAAACAGATAGAGAAAATTAAATTCTCTATTAATATTTCAATCATCTTTCTTTTAAGAAAGATTAATATATATCCGAGCATAATGAAGAGAAGATATATAAGACTTTAATTCCGGATTAAAAGGAAAAAGAAACCATATGTCAGCAGATACGCTATCTATAACGAAAGAGAATCAAAACGGCTACATCGCAGCGGATAAGTTAGCAATCTATAAATAAATTACTTTAGAAAGAAATTAATTATTTTCTATATTAAAAGCATTAAGAATTCAAAAACGTCAAATTTTAGAAAGAATACAATAGGCACGATTTGATTGATTAAGGAAGTTGACTGCATAAAAAATGAAGTAAAATAAATTTACCGGCTTGAGCTGTGGAAAATACGTGAGAAAGAAAACAATTGTAATGAAATATTGTTATTCAGCGAGCAAAAACTATTTACTTTACAGTTATTAACGATAGCGGGCATTTTTGTATTTATGCCATATATATATATATACGGTTATGTTATAAATACACAATTTTGTTATTATAATATTTGCCATGGCATATCGTAATTCTGGTAACTTTCGATTGTGATTTTAACTAGAAAAATATGTTATAATTATTTGCAAAACATTATTATGCATAAAGGCTACATGCTTTGAAAACTAGAATTTCTGTCCAATAAAGAACAGTTAATTTAATCAATAAATTTGATGAACGTAATTAGATATTATAGGTGATCTGTGTACAATACAGAGGTACTAAATTCGCAATAATAAAACTGCGCATACTTAAAGATGAAAACAGAATAAGAAATAATAAAATAAGGGAAAGAAAGAGCATGGTCTGTTTCAATATATCGATGCCGTTTACGAAAAAAGAAAAATAAAGACTTATCTCATGCAATGAAATTATAAAATTATAATGTAAAACTTATAACTATTAAAAAATTTTGGTGATATGTGAGCATTTCATTCAAACAATCTGAAGTTTTATTTTAGCACAGTTAAGTTTTCGTAACAATTCCTTCACATATTTACTTGGGGTAAAAAGTTGATTTCATCACCTTTTGGCATAAATTTATATTTTTTTAAAGTCGGATCAGATTACTTTAATATTTATCAATTCGAAGCTTTCATTTCTGATAATAAAAACTCGTTGTTTTCCTTATTAAAATGAAAACGTGATCATATTTTCAAAAAGAAAAATGCTTGGCTTCATAGATCGAAATTATATTCTAAACTTAATTTGGCAAAGCAAATCATTCAAACAATCTGTAGTTAGTTTAACAAAGTTAACGCCTTGTAGTAATCAAGAGTTTCACTTGTATTCGTAGAAATATTTATTTAAAAAAATCCATTTTTATATATATTTCGATTTTTTCTAACTCAGACAATTAAAGTTAATAATTAGCAGTCGAAATTTTTATCTAGAAAAATAAAAAGTTGCATTGCATGCTCACAGTGATTAACATATCATGATCTGGAAAACTTAAATTTAGACCTAGTTTTTCTTGTTTTAAATAAAACGTAATTTAAAGGCAAATTCAAACTTAAGATTTTTTTTTTAAAATCGGAAAACGGAATTACTTCTTGTTAAGGAGAAAGAATAAATACACAATTACTACTGATATTTATGCAAAATTATTATTTATACTCCGATAATAATTTAAATCTCTTAGTTGCTTATTATTTCCCAGAGTGCATGGATGGATTATTACATTGCTACATTCTCTATGCAAGAAGTGACCGTATTTAGGTTATAAAACAGTTCCAAAATTTTATTTTATTATTAATTATTATACATATATTTTTACAAGTATAAAGAGAGCAAAACTCTACTGAGAAGATTTGGATCAAATTATCGATTTCAGTTAAAAGAAAAGATAATTCGAAACACAGTAACTGATTATTAATTTCATTATAGATTTTAAGCATCAGAATGGCAGTTTATCTGAATTAAATTTTTCACAGTTATTCTCCGTTGAAAAAATGTTTTTACAAGCGATCTTTTAAGAAAATTTTACTTAATGCTGGAGCAGTTAATGCTCTCAACTGTACCAAACTTGGTGCTGAAGAAATATTATTCTTAAGACAAATTAGTGGATTTCTATTCTTAAGAAATCTTAATTTCTGGAAATTATGCTGTGAAAATAAGACTTAGATTTGAGGTATAATTTAGTTTTTAAAAATTGGTAACAGTTTGTTATTTTTACTCCTTTTCAAGAATGAAAGAGCACTAGTAATCTTTTTCATGTATTATATAAATTTTTATATATACTAGCGTTCTTCACCAAACACTAATCAAGATAATTTTAAGCATTATTTATTTTTTAACACTTTGTTTAATTTTCTTAAAAATATCACAGTTTGAGTGAAGTAATAAAACAATTAAAATATCAAACACTGGGACTGATAGCATGATTTTCGTATCTCCTATCAAAATTATAGCATTAAATTTTCCATCAGCTTAGCAATGTAATGCCAGTAGCGTTTCATTTAGTATTCTGAACACAAATTTTGACTTTCTTGTCACACTTTTCGATAATTCACTTTCAACAACGCCTTGGGCACAAAAGAGATGACGGTAAACCAATTACCGACTTACTTACATTGGATATGAGGTCATCGAAATGCAGCGGGGATGTCCTGGCGTCTTTCATGGGACACAGGCGGAAGTGAATGGAGCAGTGCCGGGGGTAAGCGAAACGGGACATCATTAGAAGGGTACCGGTGCTTTCAGACTATCTGTGCCGTCGTCATGTCCAGTGAAAATTGAAAACGCGCGTTTTGGGAACAGTCAGTCTCGAGATGATCATAACAACAGAGTAACGAGAGCCGGCGTTAACGAAAACATTTAGCGAAAGGTCTCACAACCCCGCCTACACCGCACGTAGCAGGAAATGTTTTTTTCCCATAAAGTAGCCAACTCGCCAAGCTGACGCCAACACAATAGCAAGGACGACTTTAACAGAAGCGTTGTGGATAGCGATTGTTTGAAGAAGAGGATAATGGATAATGAGTTTTGTTGTAATGTTGATTCTGCTCTCTATCTGTCTAAGCCAGTGTCTGATGCAGGCAATCATAAAATAAGTTTTTATTTCATGTGAAAGTGAAATAGTCCGTTGTATTCTGAGCTGTTTACTAGCAATGGCGGTATGACAAGTAAGATAAATCATATGAAAACAATTCTCTGCAGGTGCTTCAGACATTTTTTTTTTTTTTTTTTTTTTTGTGAATATTTTATTTTTATTCATTACTTACTTCAAAATATGTTATTAGGAAAATTTAAAAGAAAAGTTTATTATTATTATTTTATAAAATAAGTTTTATTTTTATTTAAAACTCGTAAAATAATTAATGAAAATAAATAATGGGAAAAAATAATTTATCATATTCTTTCGTGGGAAAAAGAGATTAAATAAATATGTCTTTAAAGTAATTCATTTACAATTTTATATCACGAATGTATTACAATTTTATATCACGAATGATGTAAATCATTTGAAAATAATTTTTGACAGTAAAGGTGGATCGAAAAACCGCTTTTTATTTATTTTTTTTTCTATCGTTTATACCCCGGAAAAAATGCCTGTCGACAATCTATGCAAAATAAATAAAAGTTTTCATATAAAAGAGTATCTTCCGTCCCCGCATCGCACTCAAAGTTTTGAAAAATAACGAAATTTTTCTGTTTTACGTCAATTTTTTATACTTTTAAACTCACTATTATCGAAATACAATTCCTAATGTGAATGTTGAGGCATGATGAGTACGAAATAAATTAAGAACCTGTAGTTTCAAATTACTTATTCTTTGTGCAAATAGTTAAAAAAATACAAATTTTTGTAAAAAAATAGCAATATTTCGTAATTTCTGATAATTTTACTTTTTCATTTTTAGTAATCAAATGTTAAATATATTTATCATTTTAAATTTTGTTATTCAAACGAATGCACTTGAAAGTCAGTTTTCTATGAAAATACTAGCATAATACATCTTGATAGGAGGGTTGTCTTAATCAAGCCGTCTCTTGCGTCAGCGCCACACACCTTTTTAGATGCTTCGATCACAAGTTTACACACCGTTTCTACAGCCTGGTTTGACAAGGGAAGCATTGGAAATCCGGGTGCAGTGATATGGTGTTTTTTGAGCTGTTTGTGTGAATGATAAGTAAGCTGAAATTACAAGTTTAAAATTTATTTTGTCTTATTTTATGTGAGCGCGTGTTCCTTATGCCCCAACATTCGCATCAGGATTTATAGTATTTCGATAGCAGTGAGTTTAGTAACTACAAAAAATCGAAAACATCAAAATTTCACCATTTTTCAAAGCTTTGAATGCGATGCGCGCGAACAGAATGTATAATTTTATTCGAAACTTTTTTTCATTTTGCTTAGGTAGGCAATAGGCAACTTTTCCTGAATACAGCGATAGTAAATAAGTAAATAAAAAGTGTTTTTCTCTACTGTCAAGAATTATGATATAGATCTCTCGCCATACCATACCATTTGCTCTGAATAACTTAGAATACAACAGACTATTTCGTTTTCACTATTTAGAAGCTTTCATTTAGCTCATTTTTATGTTTATATTTAAGATTAAAAGTTTGTAATCCATTTTAAACTACTTCCTGGTAAGCTATCGAGCTTATATTTCGTACATACACTATTGGTCGAAGACAATGCAATTCGATGAAACTATTTTTTCAAATTTCGATCTAGATAGCTTTAAATTAATGCTAAAATGATTTTACGCATGCATCTTCGTTTAACGAACAAACTAAAATATTATAATTTTACCATCTGCAGCATCGGGTAGAGTGGGAAAAAATCTTTTAATAGAAATTTGTATGAAATTTTTGACTTAATTAAGAACCCTTAAGAAGGTAAAGCCAGATTGAAAGGGGAGGGTGAGGATTGTTGATGTAATTATCTGATCTCAGATACTTATGCACTTATTTAATAAAGAAAAATAATTATTCAAGAAGTAGCTGTGCATTTATTTCACTGCGTCCCCTTTTCCTACGCATGCTTGCTGTAAATATTTCTCCGAGAAGCAGTACTTTCTATTTTGCCAGTGTAAGGAAATCTGCTTATAGAAAACAGTAAACACTTCCTCGAAGTGTTTGATAAGTACCATTTTGATGATTAATATTTTAGTGCTCATCATGCAAAGTAAACCTAACCCACAAAACGTTAAGAATTAATTTTATGACTGATGTCAATGAACAAACAGTTCTTTTATTTGATAATAAACGAAATATAATTTACAAGTTCTCGTAACTAAAAGTCATAGCTTGATCATATGGCTTAATCATAAATGCTTTCGGTCTTATTTAAAAATTTTTCACTTTATTTGACAGTCATAAAGACAAAAACAAGGGAAAAGACTTTTTTAAATCGGAATTACAGTATAAAATGCGTTCATAAAACGGGCGAAGAATGTTAAAAAAAGAAATTTAAATCGCAGACAACGATGGAAATAGGCGCAATTTAAAATCTCCCTCGGTCTGATAAGAGCATTATTTATGATTATGTCTGTCTGCATGCATAACACGTCTCCGGCGACAGGAATTTATTTTAATTCCATTTCCAGGAATTCACTGTTTCTGAGTCATCGTACTAAAACTGCGCTTTGACATTCTTAGTCGTATCTAGAATTATTCGTAACAGTTTTAGGCCTGGAGAAGCAAACTGCAATATTTGATTCAGATTTCAAATGAAAGAAAAACATGCTAATGCTTTTTGTTTTGCTTCTAAAGAAGAGGGACTAACATCTGCTTGATATCGAAATCGATGGAGTTTTATCATTTTAAACATTAATTCAATGTTGTGATGACAAATACCGTATTTCCTCCCATATTGCCGCCCTAGCTTTTTACCGTTAGGTTCCGAAAATTAAAAAAATATTCGCATTTTTCGCGATTTTTTTAAATGGCTAGATTTTAGACTGTTTAGCCTTTAAACTTTCAACATCTAAAAATGCATCGGATATAAATTTTTGAAATTTTTACAAATCAAAAAACAACTTGTCACCCTCTTTTAAACAAGAATGATGTTGCAGTCTAAAGCAGACGGAAGAAAAAAGCGTTTTCAGTTTTCCATCTTGGCCCATTTAATGGACGAATTGGCTATATTCATTTTTACTTCCTTGTACGAAGTAAAAGAAGTATTGTAATCGCCAAAAATTTCGGGTATCATATTTCAAAGGAAATACCCATTTTGACCGTTACAGAATGCAATTTAACGATGTTTTTTTAGGGACATTTGTACGTAAGGACAGAATAAAGAACGCTTTTTCCAAAAAAAACGTTTTGTGAAATAGATTTAAAATGGATTCAGATGAGATTTTTTCCCTTGACGTGTGTGCGTACGTACGTACATGTGTACATCTCGCATAACTCAAAAGCGAGTAGCCTCAGAACGTTGAAATTTTGTATACAGGACTTCTATAACATGTATATGTGCACCTCCCTTTTTGTTGTAATCGGCCGTACCAACAATATGTAAATATATACACAACAAATACAATATCATAATCTCATTCATATAAAAGTAATTAAAATTTTAAATTATGAAAATTCAGTTGTAAATATATACATACGAAGCTCTGACAGCCGGAACGCAGCATGAGCTTTTCATGCTAATCTCGGCATACAGCTGACAGTGGAGTTAGTTCATAATATTCAGCCCTTGATTACATAATTAACTTGTTGAAATCGTTTTTGAGGTTGAGACCTTGCCAACCAAAAATGTGCATTTGAGTGTTTGCCATCAAAGTCTGAGCTCGAATTAACACTCGAACGCCAAGTTTTCGGTTTTATCCGTTTTGTGTACTCTCTGTGAGTTTGTCACTAAACTGATTGTGCAACATTTGGTCTCGTTCATTCGCTTTCCCAACACTGTTGTAAGTTCAGATTGAAATTCTAATATTCTTCTTTTTTGCCTCTCAGAGTGGAATGCGACCCTATGTTCTACGGTAATTATTGCTCATCTGGATGAGTACTATCACCCCTCTTAATTTATAATAAAGTAATTTAGAATCACCCTGTATATATATATATATATATATATATATATATATATATAACCGCTCTGTTACTCTGTTTATATATATTATATATATATATACTCGGTGAACTAAGTTTTTTTTTAAATTTTTATATTCTGGTAAATTGTGCATTTTTTGCTGTAAAAGTGATTGAATTATTTTGTTCTGATGTTCCGACCTTTAGTTAATCCGTATGCAACCAACAAATTATAAGTGCGGCTAAGCCTAATGGAACAGGAATATTTGTTTACATTTGAAACTTGGCAGAATAGTGAAGTAAGTTCTTATCTGCACTTTCAATGTTTCTTTGCCGAGTGGGACGAAAAGTAAACTTTCAGTTTGCACTGAAAAATATGCTTTCTTTGCCCACTGGACGGATTGCTTGTTTATGCGTCGAAACTCTAATTTGAATAGTAAACACTGTTTTTTTTAAATTGTTTTAACTGTATGTGGTGTTTCATGATTTTTAAATTTTATTCAAGATATTTTGAGTTTTTATGTATCTTTGTCTTACCGCGAAGTGAGAACTGAATTAATTGCATGAGAAATATATCTTCAATTAAATTCGAGGAGATGAGTTTAAATGCAGAAAAAAGGATGAGAAATATATCTCCAATTAAATTCGAGGAGATGAGTTTAAATGCAGCAAAAAGGATGTATAATTTAATAGGCCATACAATAAAGTCATGTGGTGTCCGCATCTTATTTTTTTCATTTTAGCTTCAAGAAAAATGCTTGTTGTAACATTGCTATTACTGAAAATTTCCGAAAATTAATATTGAAAAAGCGATTTCTTCATTCTCCGAATGACGTTATCTTTCTTTGCTTCATAACTTTC